CCCTGACACCAAGCACGTCTTTGCTTCCCCTCACTACTATGTTCCTTCCATCATCTTGCTCTTTCAAACCTGCAGCCATGAGGCGGACTTTGCCACCAGGATGCTTGAAAAAATGAATGGCAATTGGGCTGTAGATTGCAAGCCAAAGCTCGTCAAATAGGTCCTTGTCACGAACATGCTTGCTTGCACACTTGATGTTCGAGAACACGCATTCCCAACACCTTCGGACTTTGACGAAACACATCTGCCCGTGCTTGACCTCCACTGCCACTCCTCCACGAATCCAGTCTACAGTAGAACAATCTCTCGAAAAAGAACTATTTTGATGGAGAATTTGATCCACTTCGAACGCTATTTCCTCAATACGTAAACCGCGTAACCGTGGCGTCATATCGTTCAGCGGCACTCCGTGGTATGCCTCATCCTGGCACGATGTCATTCCTTCCATGAGATTTTTCAACCAGCTAGTGGCTTCAACGGCTGACAGGTTCACGTAAGACACAAGTTTGCAGTGACCCTTTGTCAGGAACTTGTGGAGAATTTGAGATCGCGCAATTTGCCAACACTCTTGCCCTGCAGCACCTCTGACAAAGATCTGATGGCCACTGCTTCCTGTTCGCTTGCCAGTCGAGCAAACTCCGGTCCGAACGTCATGCCTGATAATGTGCAAGCTATCTGGGCTGAAGAGTGTGAGATACAAATCGTCAAATGGAGCACGGTCACGAACACCCGGCCATGGCAGCTTGATTCTGTGAAATAAAGCGCGCCAATTCTTGTTTGTTTTGTCCCACGACATCTGTGCACTTTTGCATTCAACTTTGCGGCCATCCATGGTGAAATCATACTCAGAGTGATAGTGTGACCTGCGAGCCCCGTTGCAACAAGTTCCTGGGGTCGGCTCTTCAATCTTGCTGTTCGGATTGAGCCGCGCCAGCTCCTTCTTGCACAATTCGTTCAGGATCATTCCACGACGCTTACCAGACAGCAAAGAGAGTTCATGGCCAGCGTGACCTGCATATGCCTTGCTGGTCTGCCCCGTATCATCCAAAATGTGTTGGAACTGCGAAGCACTCAGCACCAAACACCTCAACTGCCATCCAAACAAAAACGTAAATGTAATAACTACAGGCACACCTGACCGCAACATTGTGGCTTTCGAACCAGAATTCCCAACTTGGGTGAGGCAACCCACAAGCACACAACCCAGTTAGCAAGGCGGGTGAACTAAAGGACTTCAGGACTTCAGGTGAAGAATCCGGCACGCCAGGGCTTCATTGAAACAGAAAACAAAACACGAATTAGCATCCACACATATCTCTCTGGTGTGAGTACATGTCTCCCAAGTTCCTCATGTCCATCAAGAGCAACTCTACTCTGGTGACACTGGATCTTTTGCGCCATCTCTCTGACAGAACCGGTGTGTTCGTCACATCAGGTCTGGTCGCACGTGACGTATCTGAACAGTGAGATGTGGACTGGATGCATGCGATGGATGGGTTTCTGCATGTTTTTGGCACGTGTTCCAAAGGCCGAGGGTCTGGAGCCTGATGAATTCCATCCAAGGAACAGCTGCCCGTCTGCGCACAGTCTAACCAATCCTATCACATCGCTTTGGGATCGCATGCGTAAATGAAAGCCGAACCCAACAATAGAGAGCTGAATGCCCCTACAACAGCCCGGCAACCCCAATACACATCCATCCGCTCTCTGCTTGGAGTCGTGGTTCAGGGCTCTGCGGGTGGAAGGTCGGAGCACAGCTTGCGCTACAGGAAATTGGCTAGGATAGACCAAACTACTCTTCCTAACCACTCAGCGTCATGAAAGTATAATGCTCGAGCAACCTTCGCGCACCGTTTGCAGAGAAAAAACCGAGAGCTTCTAGTCCCACGAAATCATTTGCAGTACATCTCCTGCCGCTTCAGCTCGGTCGACAAATTGTGTACCATTGGTATGGCCGCCACAGCTAGGTCGACAAAATACGCAGCACGCTGAAGGGCTGGCGTGGCATCTTGAATTAACCACTGGTGTCCCAAAGGACTGTTGCTAAAGGCTGGCAGCCCCAATCAACTTCCATCTTTTTCAGCATGTGGTCGAGCGCGACCTTGACATCAAGCACATGTCTAGGTGCAGAAAGCCTCAGGTGTTTTCCACGCGGACCCTGCATCACGCTTGGGTCGAAGTCGCCAGGATGTTTCAGGAAGTGCAGGCCAAAGGGGCTGTAGATTGCAAGCCAAAGCTCATCAAAAAGATTATGCGCGCGAACGTTAGCACCTGCGCACTTGATCGAAAAGAAATTACAATACCAACACCCCCTGCCCGGATCAAAGAGCATCTGTCCGTGCTTGTTTTCCACTTTCACATCTCCACGAACCCAGTCTACCTCAGAAGACGATCTGGAAAACTCAAAAGAAACATGTGGATGGAGAATCCGATCCACTTCGAAAGCTATCTTCTCAATTCGAAAGCCCCGCAGCTCTGGCCCTGTGTGGTTCAGCGGTACCCCCTTGTATTCGTGGTCCTGCCGTGCTGCCATTCCTTCCAATTGCTCCGCTAGAAAGGCCCTAACTTCTGTGCCTGATAAATCTATGTGAGCCACAAGTTCGCAGTGTCCTGCAGCCAGAAGCTTGCCAAGAATTTGAGACCGTGCACTTTGCCAGCCCTCTTGCCCACGCGCACCACTGACAAAAATCTTGTGCCCACTCCTCCCTGTTAACTCGCCAACTTTGGAGACTCCTGTCTGAAGGTCATGCTTGATGATGTGTAAGCTATCTGGGCTAAACAGTGTGAGATACAAATCATCAAATGGAGCTTGATCCCGAAAACCTAGCCATGGCAGCTTGATGCTGGAAAACTGGAAGCCCCAACACTTCGCGTGGTTGTTCCAAGACAATTGTGAACTTTTGCACTCAACTTTCCGACCATCCATGGTAAAGTCGTATTCGGAGTGGTAAAGTGACCTGCGAGTTCCATCGAAACGAGTCCCTTCAGCAGGTTCTTCAATTTTGCTGTTCGGATTTAACCGCGCCAGCTCCTTCTTGCAAAATTGCTCCAGGACTTTTCCGCGACGCGTCCCGGACAGCAAGGATAACTCATGTCCAGCATTTCCAATGTAAGCTTGGCTCGTCAAATCCGGCTTTTTAAGGATGTGCAGGAACTGCGCGGCACTCAGCACCAAAGGCCTCCAGTGTGGCCATCGGAAACCACGTGGAAATACTGCAGTTGTTGCTGGCAAAGCTGTGCGCAGCATGAAGATTTTGAGCCGGGATTCCTCACTGGCGCCAGGTGCCACAATCACATTGACACAATCGAAATCCCTAAGAGAGTCACCAACAAAGGACAGCTTCGGGTGAAGCTCTAAGACGATCAATTGGTAGGACGTTCAAACAGAAACAGCTTCAAACCGAGTCTGAGTGGTGCAGTGTGTGGTTGTCTTGCTTTTTTCGAGGTTTAAGGTCGTTGAAGCGGTTGGAGCATGTTAGAGTTGATTCAACATCCATGCAATGGTTGGACGCTTTTGCCCGCTGGTTTCCAGGCACAACCACCCACCACAGGGCAAAGAAAGCATCCAATCAGTGCTGACATGGTCGCCACAGCTAGGACTGACTGTACTGTTTCCAACGTGCCCTGCTCTGGCGTTTCTTGCAGCTGGGGTGTGCAACAAACCTTCATGCAGCTATATAAGGTGCAAGGAGTTTCCAGCGAGATTCGGCAAGGTCAAAAGAAACAAATCACTGCAGTTCACCCATTTAATTACACAGCATGGCGGATACAAAGGTATCAGCATTCTCTGCTTGCAAAGACCGGATCCATCCGGATCCCCATAGAAGACACTGGTCAGCCAGTGTCTCTCGTCCTGGGCGCAGTCGCTGCCCTGGCCTGGCCCGCCAGCCACGTGGTGGGCTATGCTGTCGAAGTGCCGCCGACCGGTGCGGTGCCTGGAGGTCAGATGAAGCCCCTTCAGCAGGAGAGGCTGCCACCTACCAAATCACAAAACCTGAAAACTCGACCCACTTACGTATAATTTGTAAGGTTCTTGCTTTTGTTGGATGAGTCCATCTTGAGGGTCCCCCTCTCGGGCTTTGGGGCAAAGAGCACAATGGTCAAGAGATTGTCTACGGAGTTTCCAGGGTGCCCCTACCACACACACACAACTGAACAGTGCATGTTCTAATTAAGCAGCCAAGTGAGTTCAAAGAACATCACATGCACTGTTTCACCTAATTAGACCACTTGGAGACTTTAGAGGCAATACTTACGGTTTTCTCATGTTTTCTCTATCTTAGTATGATGGGAATTTAGGGGAATGTCACCGAAAGCCACCAATCACTGTAGGACTGTAGGAGTTCTCTCTGCTATGGGGAAGAATGGGAGGACCACACAACACAACTTGGGACTGTGCAAACTGAGATGTCCTGAAGGTCCAAAGCACATCACATGATAGCCAGCGTTAGACTAATGTCGGGTCAGTTCATGCTCAACACATTAGAAGCACGGAATGTCGAGGCAACCACCGCCTCCCTCAGATTAGCCAGATTTGCCATAAAAATCAGAAAATGACTTTCCAAAACAAATCGCTGTTCACAACCCGCCCCTTAATGAACGCACAAAGAACCTGCAAACCTCTTCTCTCTTTGCGCAGAAGGAACTGTAGTCGCACAACATATTTACGCACGTTGAACTATTGGTCTTTCTCGCACCCCTACCCTTCACATGATGCAAGCAGCCTGTCCCCAGGCTTGAGCAGCTGGCTTTCACACAGTTCATTTTAAAATGACACGTCTTGAGGTTCATTGTGGCAGGATAACATGTGCACCGTAAAGTTCACACATTTCACTTCTGGTGCCTGCCGTCCGGCATGAAGCCTCCTTAGAGTGTTGGATCCAAAGCAAGACCGCCATTGCGAGCAACATCATGTATGCGACGCGCGCTTGCAGCACCACGGCCGGATGGGACAAAGAAAAGAGGACTTACAGTCCATGCAGAGTCGCACAGCCGTGAAATCACCAAAGAATAGTTGCAAGAGCTTGACAGCCCCATGCCTCCATCTTGTGGAGCATTTCGTCAAGGGCCTCCCTGACATCAATCACATTGCGGCTGGAGTAGACCTGTATCCTCTGTCCATCATCCTGCTCTTGCAAGCCAGCAAGGCTGAAACGGACTTTGCCACCAGGATGCTTCAAAATATGAACGCCGAAAGGGCTGTAGATTGCAAGCCACAGTTCATCAAACAGGTCGCGATCACGCACACCTTGGCATGCACACTTGATGCTCTGGAAAGAACATTGCCAACACCTTTGCACTTTGTTGTAGCACATTTGGCTGCTCTTCAATTCCACTCTCACCGCTCCACGAAACCAGTCTATTTCTGAAGAAGAGCGTGAAAATGAACAATTGGGATGGAGAATCCGATCCACTCCAAATGCAACCTCTTCAATCCGCAAGCCACGTAGCTGTGGCGCCATATGGTTCAATGGCACCCGCTGGTATGCGAGGTCCTGTGGTGCTCTCAGTCCTTCGATTTGCTGTGTCAGCCAGTTGCTGACTTCAACTGCTGACAAATCCACGGAAGACACAAGTTCGCAACCTTTTGTCAGGAACCTGTTCAGGATTTGATGCCGCGCCGTTTGCCAACATTCTTGCCCCCGTGTGCCTTGAATGGAAATCTGATGACCATGGCTCTCTGTTCGCTTGCCAGTCGAGTAAACTCCGGTCTGAAGGTCATGCCTGATGATGTGCAAACTATCTGGGCTGAAGAGTGTAAGGTACAAATCGTCAAATGGAGCCTGGTCCCGAAAGCCTGGACAGGGCAGTTTGACTTTGTGAAATAGAGCACGCCAACTCTTCTGAGCATTGTCCCAAAACATCTGTGCACTTTTGCATTTAAGGTTGCGGCCATCCAAAATAAAGTCATACACTGCGGTGCTGGCTGACCTGCGGGCTCCATCACAATAGCTCCCTGCGGTCGGCTCTTCCATTTTGGCCTTAGGGTTGAGCCGAGCCAGCTCTTTCTTGCAAAGTTTGTTCAGGATCGTTCCGCGGCGCTTCCCAGATAGCAAGGACAGCTCATAGCCAGCGTGACCTGCATATGCCTTGCTGGTCTGCCCAGGATCATTCAAAATGTGTTGAAACTGTGAGGCGCTCAGCACCAAACAATACCGCCATCCGCCACCCAACCTGAAGACACTTGCTGGAGGCCAGCCTGACCGCAACATCATGGCTTGAAAACCAGAATTCTGCCCTAGCTAAGAAGGGCGTCAGGTGAAGGGACCAATACATCAGGCCCAAAGCTGGAATGAACAACCAATTATATTATCGCTGGATTATATGGGGTAATTGGAAGGTAGTTATTTAGGTTGGTTAACAAAGATCATGGCCACCCGAAACAATAACCCGAACACCTCAAAATCTTATCTTCCTTGTTTGTAGGGTGGGCTTGACCGAGACAAACCAATGTTTCGACGACTGCAAGATCTGCACTGCTCTTGGAGCCAAGCCCGGCCAAAAATGAGCAAATGCAACATCAAATGCATGGACTTAACTATGACTTAACTTTCTCCCCAAAAAGTAAAGCGCTACACAATCTTTGCACTGCTTACAAGAGAAACTGCAATGATGCTATTATGACATCAGTGTTGCACACATGGAGCCACTCATTGCAGCACAGAATCATGAAACCAACAACCAACCCTTGCCTCTACACACACCTCCTTCGCTCTCACGGTGGGACATCACCCCAGCATGGCCGTCCCTTCACCCTGCCTGGCGCCTTTGCAACAAAAGGATCGCCGCCTCTTTCGTGGCGACCTTGGTGACCCGTTGGCCCAGCGTGAGCTGTAAACGGCGTAAAGACAGTGTCACAGAACAGGTGCCCTAATCCTGCTTGATGGCAGCTGTCGGCTTTGCAATCTCTCGTGTATGGTTGGGAAGGGATCAACATGTTACTTGGCTCCTCTGGATCTGTCTGTGTTTAGAACCATTGAAAAGATCAAAATCAGACAATGTTTGCGGCACTGTGTCATCTATGCCCACAGGAACCGCTGCATTGAACAAAGCCGTCCCAAATGGCCTGCAGGTCCTGGTCTTCTTCTGCAGGTCTTGCGCTTGCATGAGGAACTTCCTCGGTCAACCTGTGGAAGATTGCGTTTGAAAGTCCATGTCACCACGATGTGGTTTGTTTTGAATCGTTGGCGTGCCCAACCTTCACGGTTTAAAGGCAATTCTCCTACAAATCATCATCCCTCGCTGCAGGAGGCGAAAACAAGGCTAGCTGTACCTTGCGCTGGCACTCTTACCACAACATCTTGGCTACAACTCACAAGGGTCGCACAATGGTCCAAACGGCTCCCGCGAGCTCCAGGTGGTGTGGGAATTTGCTTGACTTTGGAGGTTCGCCTGCCCCCCACACAACAGGCTTAACATCTGTATATAAAAGGGCTCATGTAGAAAACCAGCTGCTTGTCACCCAAGTTTGCACCTCTTCTCTTCATATCCATGTCATGCAGGAAACCTATAATTTCAGGTGTTGTGACATCGACTTCAAACCCAAAAGGTCCAAGAGGCTCATGTCGCAATGCACCCGTTCTCCGCCATGGCCCGGCCTTCAAGTCGATCCCAAGGGCTCTCTCTCGCAATCAGGGCCTCAATAACCCGCACGGTGCTGTGATGCTTGCTTGGGCTGTGGTTGAGCCCTGAAGGATCCATTGAAACTGACCTCTTGAGGTGGAAACGCGCCGTATGACTGTAACGGGTTGATGCACAGATTCAGTAACTGGTGAGCAAAAGGGGGGTGAACGATCTGCCTTCACACGAGTGGCACCAGCATGGGCCACAAGCTTGAACAGCCTTTCTTTGCAGAGTCCATTTTGACACGAAAGGCCTTGGCATTCCGATTGGGCAGGATGCCATGCAGTCGGGGCAGTGTTAGCGCATTGATTTCCGGCGGCTGCCATCACTATGATTAGTGGAGGAACAATGGCCTTGTAGAACTTACCTTTCACTGCTAAATGGACCCACATCATGAAAAAATGGCTCCGCAACTGCAAGAAAGCAAAGCAAGGGGCAGCTTTTGCAAGACGTTGGCAGCCCCATTCTTCCATCTTTTTGCGCATGTCGTCAAGGGCCTCCCTCACATCAAGCAGGTGCTGGCTGCCCAGGACATGCATGCTTTTCCACAAGCCACCTCCTTCAAACCTGTGAGGCTGAAACGGACTTGGCCACCAGGATGCTTCAGAAAATGTATACCGAAAGGGCTGTATTTTGAGAAGGAGCATTTCCAACGCCGGCTGCCTTTGTTGAACCGCGCCATCCCATGCTTGACTTCCACTCTGACTTCTCCACGAACCCAGTCTACTTTCGAAGAAGTTCGTGACAAGGAACAATTTGGGTGGAGCATTCGGTTCACTTCAAATGCTATTTCTTATTATTTCTTCAATTCGCAAGCCACATAGTGCTGGTGTCATTTGGCTCAATGGCACCCCCTCGTACTCAGTGCCGTGGCGTGCTGCCATTCCTTGCAATTGCTGTGCCAGGAAGGCCCTCAAATTTATGCGAGCCACAAGTTTGCAATGGCCTGCAGCCAGGAGCTTGTCGAGTATTTGGGACAGCGCAATTTGCCAACATTCTTGCCCTGAAGCACCACGGATCTGAATGTCATGACCACGAAATCCTGTCGACTGGCCAACTGAGATGACTCCCGTCCGAAGATCATGCTTGATGATATGCAAGCTGTCTGGGCTGAAGATCGTCAAATACAAATCATCAAATGGAGCCTGTTCCCGAAATCCTGGCCGTGGCAGCTTGATGCCCTGGAAGCGTACACTCCAACGTTTCCCATTTTCTTGCCATGACATTTGCGCACTTTTGCGCTCAATTTTCCGGCCACCCAAACTGAAGTCATCTGAAGTCCCACTCGGCCTGTGAAGCTGACCTTTGAGCTCCATTGCACCGAGCCCCTCGGGTAGGCTCTTCGATTGTGCTGTGCGGATGTAGCCGCGCCAGTTCCTCTTGCAGGATTATTCCGCGACGCTTTGCGCACACCAACGAGAGTGCACGGCCAGCATAACTTGCATAGGCCTTGCAGGTCTGCCCAGCATCTTTCAGAATGTGCTTGATTTTCGAGGCGCTCAACACCACACACTTCAAATGTCGTCCGAAAACACATGCAATAAAAGTTGCTACTGGCAAACGCTTCTGCAGCATCAAGGTTTGAAGCCAGAAATTCCAGCCAATGCGACACAACCGTCTACATTGCGCACTCGGGTTGGCCGTTTGAAAGGGCTGGGCCAACAACAACGTCAGCTGAATTCAGTGAATAGGCCAAAGGGGTTCAGGGCCTATACACCGAGACTTATACCGAGTTATATTAGAAACACATCCACACACTACCTCCTCACCTGGGCCATGGGAGGTGCACTGCTTCATTGCTAAAGCTCATCAACACGGCAAGACATCCAAACCAATGGATTCGCACTGTAAACTGGCCCAGGTGACAGAACTGCACCAAAGGATTCCCAAGATCTGGGGGTTTCACAGTGAAAACAACATGGTGACACACAGAACAGTTTCCAGCATTCCTACACAGCTTCTCTTCCAACTCGAGATGCTAAGAACTGAAGAACACCACGTCGTAGCTCAGCGGTATGACAAGTTGGCTCTGATCGGCTGATGGCTGGATATGGTGGCAAGCACCTGCGTGAAAGGCTTGGGCAGGAAACGTGCATCAGCCTCGCTTGTCCCAAAGCACCGTTGCTAAAGGCTGACAGCCCCAGTCTACCTCGATTTTCACCAGCATGAGGTCAAGTGCCTCCTTGATGTCAAGCATATGTTTGGGTGCAGAAAGCCTCAAATGTCTTCCACGTGGACTCTGTCTCATGCCTGGGTCGAAGTTTCCAGGATGCTTCAGAAAGTGAAGGCCGAAGGGGCTGTAGATTACAAGCCAAAGCTCATCAAACATATTAGTTTCACGAACATTGGCACCAGCACACTTGATTCGTGAGAAACCACAATACCAACACTGCCTGTCTTGATCAAAGAGCATCTGTCCATGCTTGTTTTCGACTTTCACATCTCCACGAACCCAGTCTACGTTGGAAGAAGATCTGGAAAACTGAAAAGAAACATTTGGATGGAGAATCTGATCCACTTCGAATCCTATCTGTTCGATTCGCAAGCCGCGCAGCTCTGGCCCTGTGTGGTTTAGGGGTACTCCCTTGTACTCATGGTCCTGGCGCGCTGCCATTCCTTCCATTTGCTGTGCCAGGAAGGCCCTCACTTCTTTGGCTGATAAATCTATGTACGCCACAAGTTCGCAGTGTCCTGCAGCCAGAAGCTTGCCAAGAATTTGAGACCGTGCACTTTGCCAAGACTCTTGCCTGCGAGCACCTCGGACAACAATCTGATGACCACTACTTTTTGTTCGCTTGCCAGCTAGGGCAACCCGGGTCTGAAGATCATGCTTGATGATGTGCAAACTATCCGGGCTGAATATCGTCAAATACAAATCATCAAATGGAGCCCGTTCCCGAAATTCTGTCTCTGACAGCTTGATGCTGCAAAATGTGATAGACCAACACTTCGCATTGCTGTTCCAAGACATCTGTGCACTTTTGCACTCAGTTTTGCGGCCGTTCAACACGAAATCGTACTCTGCCTGCGATGTGGGCTTGCGACTTCCATCGCAGCGAGTCCCTTCAGTTGGCTCTTCAATTTTGCTGTTCGGATTTAGCCGCGCCAGCTCGTTCTTGCAAAAGCGCTCCAGGATTGTTCCGCGACGCGTCCCAGGCAGCAAGGATAACTCATGTCCGGCATTTCCATTGTAGGCTTGGCTGGTGAAGTCTGGCTTTTCAAGAATGTGCAGGAACTGCGAGGCACTCAGCACCAAAGGCCTCCGCTGTTGCCATCGGAAACCAAATGGAAAAAATGCAGTTACTGCTGGCAAAGCAGTACGCAGCATGAGATTTTGAGCCCGGGATTCCTCACTGACGCAAGGTACCTCAATCGCATGACACAATAGAAATCGCTAAGTTACTAAGGGAGTCACCAACGCAAGAGAGTCGCTCCGCAAATGTCAACTGCAGGACGTGCAGTTTAAAACAGGTTCACTTCGAGTCTGAGCGGTACAGTGTTTGTGTTTTTCTTATGTTGTTCGAGGTCTGAAGCGGTTGGAGTCACATTCAACATCCATCTTCCATGCTCAAGAGTTGACCCCAAAGAATCAATGCTTGGACGTATTTAGCCAGCCGGTTTCTAGGAACAACCACCCATCACAGGGCAATCGAAGGATTCAATCAGTGCTGACATGGTCGCCACAGCTAGAACCAAAAGACTGATTGTAAGTTTCCAGCATGCCCTGCTCTGGCGTTTCTTGCTAGTTGGGCTGTGCAACAGCCCTTCATACAGCTAAGGGGCGACGAGTTTCTCGAGAGATTCGGCAAAGTCAAAAGACACTTTTCGCTGCAAATGACATGTTGAGGGAGTGCAGTTCACCCATAGCTAATTACAGAGCATGGCGGATTCAAAAGTATCGGCATTCTCTTTTTGCAAAGACCGAATCCCCAAACAAGACACTGGTCTTCCATTGTCTCTCGTCCTGGGTGCAGTCGCTGCCCTGGCCTACATGGTGGGCTATGTTGTCGAAGTGCGGCGCCTGGAGATCAAATGAAACCCCTTCAGCAAACGAGGCAACCCACCAAATCACACAAGCCTGCAACTTAACACACTTTTATTTTTGTCAGGCTTTTGTTGGATGAGTCCATCTTGAGGGTTCCTCATGATCGTCGAGAGACTGTGCACGGAGTTTCCAGGGTGGCCCTACCACAAACACAATTGAACGATGCATGTTCCATGAAACAGCCAAGTGCGTTCAAAGTATAGAAATGACATGCACGGTTTCACCCAGACCACTTGGGGACCTTAGCAGCAATACTTGCATACTTACAGTGGTATGTATATAGATCTCTCTCTCTCTCTCTTGTATATAATATAGTATGATGTGAATTCTGGGGAGTGTCACCGAAAGCCACCGATCATTTTAGGACCTTAGGAGTTCTCTACGTAGTCTATGGGGAAAAGTGGGAGGACCGCCCTCCAGGTGCAACCAAACGAACTGACGTTCGTTTAAGCACATCACATCATAGCCAGCGAAGGACTAATGTCGGGCCAGTCCATGCTCAACACATTAGAAGCACGGCATGTCGAAGCAACACTCGCCTCCCTGAGCTTGGATAGGCCAGCATAGATTTGCCATGCAAATCCAAAAATGGCTCTCCAAAAGAAGAATCAATGTTCCAAACCTGTCCCTTTAATAGACTTATCATATGCAGCAATCAAAGGCCCAAGACTGACCACAATGAACGCACAAAGAACCTACAAACCTCTTCTCTTGCACAGCACTATGCGCAAAAGGAACTACCGTCGCGCAGATACAGAAGGCAATAGAGGGCAAATAGCAATTACAAAAACGCCCATCCTGTACCAACTCCAAATTCTGAGATCAAAGAAGGATTAGGACAAGATGTGAAAGGAACATAATACAGTCGCAAACATGTTTTTTGACTCTAGGATATTCCACCTGTGGAGACCCTGGGAAGATAGGTACAAAAGAATGTCCAAAGCCTCCACACAAGCCAGGCATTGCGGGGCTTTTCCTCAGGCTTGAGCAGCTGGTCTGTTTGAACACGGCAAGGTATGACAGGCATTGAGGTTCATTGTGGGAGCAACATAATGTATGCGGCGCGCTTGTAGCACCACAGCTGGATGGGATAGAGAAAAGGACTTACTGTACATGCAGAGTTGCAAAGCCTTAAAATTTCCAAGGAATAGTTGCAAGAGGCCCTCCTTGAGATCATGGGACAGCCTGAGCACCACAGAAGCATGGGACTAAAGGCATTTATGCACCAGGAATGGAGAAATCACCACAGAATTGTTGCAAGAGGCTCGCAGCCCCATTCCTCCATCTTTTTGAGCATTTCGTCCAGGGCCTCCCTGACATCAAGCACACTTTGGCTGCCCAGAACATACATTTGTTGTCCAGCAGCCTGCTCTTTCAAACCTGTCAGGCTGAAACGGACTTGGCCACCAGGATGTCTGAAAATATAAAGGCCGAAGGGGCTGTAGATTGCAAGCCACAGTTCGTCAAACACATCACGAGCACGAACACCACGGCTAGCACACTTGATGTTCACGAATTGACACTCCCAACGCCCATTGATGTAACACATTTGCGAACTCTTGAACTCCACTCTCACTCCTGAACGAACCCAGTCTACGGATTTGGCAGAAGTTCGTGAAAATGAACGATTAGGATGCAGGAATTCTTTATCCGCCTCGAATGCTATGTCCTCAAGAAGATTGCCACGCAGCGCTGGTGCCATCTGGTTCAGCGGCACCCCTTGGTATGCCTCGTCCTGGTGCGATTTTACTCTGTCCATTTCCTCTACCAGCCAGCTGCGGACTTCAACATCTGATAAGTCGATGCAAGCCACAAGTTTGCAGCGATCCGCAGCCAAGAACTTGTCAAGCATTCGAGGCAGGGCGGTTTGCCAACATTCTTCCTTCCGAGCACCATAAACAGCAATGTTATGACCGCCGCCGGTTGCAGTTTGCGTGCCAGCTTTTTCAACTCCGGTCTGGAGGTCATGTTTGATGATGTACAAGCTATCTGGGCTAAACAGTATCAAATACAAATCGTCAAATGGAGCTTGATCCCGAAGACCTAGCCATGGCAGCATGACGTTGCGAAATCGGAAGCGCCAACGCATCTTGCTGTTGTCCCAAAAAAGCCGTGAGCTTTTGCATTCAATTTTGCGGCCATCCAAAGTGAAGTCATACGGCGCATTGCGGGCTGACCTGCGGGCTCCATTGCAACAAGTCCCTGGAGCAGGCTCTTCAATTGTGCTGTGTGGATGCATCTGAGCCAGCTTCTTTGTGCAAAAATCTTCCAGGATCATTCCGCGTCGCTTTCCGCTCAGCAAGGACAGTTGCTCGCCAGCATGACCACGATAGGCCTTATTGGTCCGCCCGGTGTTGGTCAGAATGTGCCGGAACCACGAGGCATGCAGCTCTAGATGACACCTGCACTGCCATCCAAAGCACAGCGCAAATAGAATGGCTACAGGCACACCTGGCCACAACATCATGGCAACCTTCGCGCCTTCCCCACTGGTGTGGTTCAAACCGATCACACCGATCACATATTATTCCAAGTCACTTCGTTAAACAGCTGAACTAAGAAGGACTTCAAGGGCCTGATCTGGGGACAATCCAAACCAAAAGACTTTGAGATGAACTTTATCAGGTGAATCACAACTTTCCATGGGAACGACCTTAAACAATCAGATCTTTTGAGCCTCCCTTGGGTTCAATAATTTCAACGGGCTTCTCTCTCCATACGCTGCATGAGTTGTCTTATCAGTTGATTGGGTTCGAAGTCATTGGCGCAGGGCATGGAGCCTCGCAATCGCAGGAAGGGCGTCATGGGCTAAAGTCACCGCATGGGGTTGTATGGGTAGTTTCCCAAGATCCTAGAGATCGCAGGAAGAATTTACATGCAATGATTGTAGCATACGTCTCGCACCAAATGCAAGTAATCCGTAATTCTGACCAGGTGTGGCACGCACAAAACTACCCGTTGCGGCTTGCGGTTAAAGAACTGGGAGCATCAAGCCACCTGCCGCCTTACAATGCGATTCTACCCTGTTTGGTGCACCACGGAGGGGATGGAGCTTGAAATGCAAATCTGCCAGCCTTTGGCCTCCCCAAACGCTGTTGAACAAACGGCTACGAACGAGTCGCGTTATGTCGCGGAGCAGCTTCGGATGACACCCGCCGGCTGTTAGTTTAACTTACATTAGCCAACTGCCCTTGGAGGCGCTGCTCAAAGGGTCCAACTTTGGGTCCAACCTGATCCAACAACCCTTCACAAAGGAGGAAGGATAGGAAGGTGTGAGATCTTTGCTGAAGATTGGGCACACTCAAAAGAAATTGCCACTCGAGCGCATGTCATGCTTGGCCTAGCAAACAAATCCTTTGGCCGCAAATGCTGTTGAGTTTGTTGGGAGTGTCGGTCATTGGCAACTGGGATTTCTAAAGAACACATCAGAATGAATCACCACTTCACCATGTTCAAACCGTTCCGCTGCTTTTTCGACTCCCTTCACCTCACCTTCTCCTCGGCCCGCCGGCCAGCACATCCAGCCCGGGCTGACAGATGCTGTCGAAGTGCTGCCTGGGCATCGAAACCCCTTCCGCGGGGGCTGGGACTGGGCGCCTTCGATGTGTGCAAAAAAGGACTACCTGGAAACCCAGCCCCAACCAGAAACAACTGGTTGCTCCAATATGGCAATGGAACTCCTTCACATAACAAATGGTTGTTTGGGAAATCATCCATTAGTTTCTGGTTGTTTGGGTTTCTGGTTGTTTGGGTTTCCAGGTGTACATTAAAAACCAAGTCCACTGGTTTATATACAGTTTTACGGCCCTTCCAGTTGCCCATCTTGACTTCCATGTGGTCCTTTGCGACAATGTGATCAAATGCGGGCCAACAACTGCATGAGGAGTGTCGAGGGTGAGACAGCATACACACCACACAGGCTCACCCAAAGAAACAAATTACAAACATCAAACACAAATGAAAACCATTCGTTGTGCCAAAATCGATCTTAACATTTCAAACGGTCGAGCTTTGAGTGATGGACCTCCGCCTCAACATGCGTCAAGACTCTGCCCGGCCCAGTGCTTCCCCCGTAGCGCCTGGGCCATCTTGCTCGCAGGGCCCGGGCCCACCGGGTTACAAAGACTTGAGCAACCAAGCTGTCTTAGAGTTTGGTGCTGGATATCCGGTGGCCGCTGCTGAGTCAGATGGAAGGTCTGGGCCCTTCTCACTTCGAGGCCCTTTTCATTCGCAAGCACCCCAGCTAAAACAGCCAAAACAGCAACACTCTCAAGAGTAAACTGGTGACCCTTAAGCATCTGCATAACGACTCCTTCATGACATCTGCAGTTCACAGTTGGTCTCGTGTCCGATGAGTATTTTGCTGGAGGGGCTTGAGCAGCTGGAATGACCAAAGCTTTTGTATGCGTTTGGAATGCTAGTCAGGCCATGCTAAGACACCCCTCATTTGGCACAGTTCAAGACCAAACTATTGGGGACTGCATTCAGCAATGGTTGGCCGGGCAAAAAGAACACCAAAGAAAGGAACCTAGTAGTAATTATTAGGTTACCAAGAGTGTACCAGGTATATAACCAGGTTCCACGAGCACCAGGTAACCACGAACGTCGAGGTGTGTACACCTGCCCCCAAAGAAACCCTTTCACACACCTTCTCCTCGTTACCGCACGAGCTCCGACCGCACGTCGTGCCCTTTTGGACCTCCCATGACCTCCCTCAGCTCTGGGGATCCCCCCAAAGCCGTCGAAGCGAAGGACGGTGGGCGAGATGGGTCTTCCTTCCTCGGAAGCTTCAGCATTTGGGTGGCGAAAAGGGAAAGAACACTCGAAATGAACCAGATCAGAGTTGGATATATCCTACTGTGAATGCTGTGTTTTATTATGTTTTATGTCCATGCCACGTGCCCTTGGTCGTTGAGAAAACAGATATGTGCAAGGGCGGCCCTCTCAGTGAACATATGAGTGTCCTGCCCTGCAAGTGTTTGTAACGTTTATGCCTTTTGAGTGTCCAAACGTTAACAACCGGCCTGACCCCCACCATGCCCCTGGAAAACATCCGGATGTCCCAACACAAAACAGGAGCAACCCAGACAGTCTCGTCACCTCTTCGGCCCCAAGAGCCACTTTTGGCACTGCGCAAGCTTGGCGCCCTGATGCACCCTGTACGACTGTCTAAAGTCTGACTAGCTGTCTGGCCTTGCCGAATGCAGAAACAAAGAAAATATAGATGGCGAAGCCTTCAATAAAAGAGCTCTATAGAAACATATTATGTGATGATCATTTGCGGACTACTGGATCACCAAACCTATATGATCTTTAACTTAAAAAGAAAAACCCACCTCAATTTGTAATTGTATGTCTTGCACTTCGGCACCACCGACTGGCGCGGTGACCATGACTCCGAATGGACGGCACCAGGGGCCGCTTCGTGGCGGCCGAAGCACCGGACGGGATGCCCGGAACCTCTACGCCGCGCCGATCGTCGGGCGGGTTCTCCGCGTTACGATGGACATGGAGCTGCCGCGCTGCTTCACACACACACCGCCAGGCCGGGGGAAGTCTGGGAGCATGTCTTGTTTTTATCTTCCCTTTTGTTTGCAGAGGATATGCTTATGTTGCCGTGAATGGATGTACTTAGGAGCTGTATAGGGGGATTCCGGTGTATTTGGGGCGGATCAACAAATCAGCTGTAGGGGATTCCAGCACATGGTGATTGGTTGGGTCTCCTCTCAGTTTGGAGGAACCTGAAAAGACTTCGACAATAACCCTGAGTTGGCCATCCTGACTAGGTAGATCTTTAGATGCAAAACATGGGCTTGGCACTCAACAAACCTGAACATATCTATGTCTGTCAAGCACACAATCTACTGCAACATCTACAGTATGTCTACTGCATTCTACTGCTACGGGTCTCATCACCAAACACCAGTGTCCTGTGCAGCCATTACGCTGCTGTACCAGGAGTGTGTCAGATCAACAGCAAACTCGACAGGTTAATAGAGTGAACGTCTGGCGAAAAGTGCTGCTGTACTGCTTGATTCTGTCTACTGCGTGAAGATAACTCCTATGAGTTTTGAAGCGGAGAACACGCCGAGAGACTCTCACTTGACACTCAAGCGATCCACCACCGCTTTAAGACTCATTGAACCCTCCACAACGCATGCAAGCAAGGGAATTCCTTCATGACACATGCCCCCATTAGCCTTGTAGAGGAAAACGGTCTTGAGCGAATTCATGTTCCATGTCAACAACCAGAGTCAGGTGGTTCCTTCACTGCTTCACAGCATCCTCTGAGATTATTCGCTGCACCTGACAGGGTGGTGCAAGGTGCAAGTATTGTTTCATATTGTTTCTGATGGTTTCTCTTGTGGTCAGGCCGGCTGCGCGAAAGAGCTGAAATCACCAAATGGACATGTCCTGAAGGTCAACAGCTGTCAAAACAAAGAAATGGGCCACACCCAATCCTAGCTCATTATTATGTCGTGTCAAGAGAATCTTCCCCAACGTAACCGGACCTTGCAACTTCCAGCTAAACGCTGTCTTCTCCAGTCCTGGAGTCAACTGATGTCGGCGTCCAGACTATCAACCAAACATTGATAGCTATAAGTCATGCTAAGTCCCTGGGCTGCTAAGGAAGAAAGACAAACAGGATGCGTTTTACAAATCAGGCACCATCATCCCTAAGTGGAACCGCTGGGACTTCCTTGACATTCCGATGAACGGCACAGTCATCCTTCTCTGCTAAAGCCACTCTCCAATTCTTAGAGTCTTAGGGTTTCTGATCTTTAACATCGAAAACACGTGAAGTTGCATGACATGACCCTCCTTTAAGAAGACACCGTATCGGCCCGACAAACATCGACCAACACATGCAAATGTCGTTTCAACGAATCCTCCTCAGGCTCCGCTCTCAGGCTCCACCGACAAGTCCAAGTCTTCCTTCTTCTGCAGGTCTCTCGCTTTCGTGAAGTACTTCCTCGGTGCAAACCCGGCCACACCGAACTCGGTGACCACCACCGGGGATTGGTATAGAAGAGAATTGAGGGCAAATCCCTCAAACCAATGACACTCCCCACTGGGCCCAGGCAGCGGGGCCACTCGATGGATAGGACAGTCGTCTCAAAGTTCAAGGTCCCTGTTGTTTTCCGAGAGGGTCTGGCAAAATGTCCTTTAGTAGTATGGACAAGTGAACATCGTAGCGCAATAAACAAGTGACGAAAACAAACCACTGAGTCACTGAGTGTGCGAAACGAGTGAACACCGGTTTGAATTGAACTTCTTCAAGGTGCTGACCTATACACAATCCATGCAAACAACAGCTGGAAAACAACATTGCTGCAGGAAAACTTGTGATTCAGTGGGTGTGAATTCGATCCCGCCAAAACATTTCAGCAGTGAAGTGCAGTGATAAGCGACACATCTTTCACTAACCTTTAGTGATGTAGGCCCCTCCACTGTTGGTCTGTTCTTCCCCAAACGTAGCCTCCTCAAAACTGACACGAAGCTGATTTTGGGGTCTATGAGTCTATGCGATCCCTCACGGTGTATGATTGCTGTGCTGCTGTCATCCTTGGAGCGCTCGTTTCTGGTTTCTTATGTGCAGCGAGCATCTTATCAATGACTCCGTCAATCCCAGGACTGAGGATCACTTTATTGGTGCCTCGGACGAATGGCGATGCAAAAAACACTCCCCCAATGGATCCAGCTGGCACCAAGAGTCGGTACTACCAGGGATCCCCAAGACCTGTGGAAAGGAAACAGTTCATGACAAATCAAAGACCTCTGTTAGATACATGGTTTCACTTTGCTCAGGGGCAGCATTGCCTGAAACCCAGTCTTACATTGGTTTCAAGAGTAGATGGCACAATCCCGGCAAGTTTGGTGATATATATTTGGACCCCCATCCACCAACAACAAAAACATCTTGGGGCTTGTTCTATCTAAGATTCTACTCTGAGATCCAGTCTTAAGAGTCTCCCATGGCCTTTGGATTCGCCACGCTTCATCTGGTGCTTTCGGAAAATGTTCAAAGAAGGCTCTGGTAGAAGGTGCAGCTCCCCAGAGTGCTTATGAGGGGGTGCAAACCTAGAAAACTATCAACAGGCTTTAGATACCAAAATGTGAAAAGCACAGTAAATCTCAACTAGTTGAAAAAGGCTCCACTACATCACGGCTGAGTATTTTTGTGCTTGTCTGCGCCTGTGCTTCCTTCGGCAACCAATCTCAGCGTTGTGCAGTTGCATGTGAGGAGTTGGGGTGCAAGACACCTCCACGGAGGACAAGTGAACACACTCAACATTCTTACAACAATGATCTCTCCCCCTCCCTCTCCCCTTCTCTCTCTCTCCCTATCGTTTTCGACCTCTTTCGCGCAGCGACCCTTCACACCATGCTTCACCTGCACCTGCAAGCAAGGGGCTCATGTAGAAGGGCACGTTGTCTGCGATGGCCCTCTTCAAGTCGATCCAAATGGCGATCTCGCAGTCATAGCCTCAACGACTCCCCCCGGAGACACCGCGGGAAAACAGGCGCAGCGGGCCGTGGGAACGACCCCGAAGGCAAAAAACAGGAGAACACAAATGAGATACGCATGCATATACTGGACCACATGAATTGGACTCCAGAAACTTGGAGTCATGAGATAAAACACGCCAAGTTGGTAAAGGAACATCCTCCAACCTGACAGTCAATCTTCCAAGGTATTTGGCAGACTGGTGACTGGTGCGTTGTCACTGACTTTGAGCTATCTGCGGCTACCATGCGCTCTTTTTGGGGGTCCTGCTGCAGGGGGCCTGCCAAAACTACATTCAGACATATGTAGCTTACTCATATTAGAAAGCCATACTTGCATTTGACATCAATATTTGCAGTGTCAAGGCTGCCAAAAAAAAGAAGCCCTTCTCTAAATGCAAAGCTGAACCACACGAGGATTTTGCCGTCCTCACACATCCGCTGAATCACGCCCCATGACTGCGATAGAATCAATCCGCAAATTGCCTGGCATGGAAATGTGCATCAACTGCTCGTGTCCCAAAGCACAGTTGCAACAGGTTGGCAGCCCCATTCCTGCATCTTCTGTAGCATTTTGTCAAGGGCTTCCCTCACATCCAGCACGTGAGAGGGCGCTCTGATGTCAATGGTACTTCCAAACACCTGCTGTCCCACACCTGCGTCACAAAAGCGGACTTTGCCGCCAGGATGCCTCAAAAAATGAATGCCGAAGGGGCTGTAGATGGCAAGCCACAGCTCGTCAAAACTAGTCAGCTCACGAGCTTCATCACTGGCACACTTGATGTGTGAAAAACTGCATTGCCAAAACTTCTTCTTTTTGTTGAAGCGCATCTGCCCGTGCTTGACTTCCACTGCCACTCCTCCACGGAGCCAGTCCGCAGTAGAAGAATGTCTCAAAAATGAATGAGTTGGATGAAGAATTTGATCTACTTCAAATGCCAGTGCCTCAATTCGCAAGCCACGTAGCTGTGGTGTCATGTGGTGCAGCGGCACCCCTTTGTATGCATGGTCCTGAAGTCCTGTCACTTCTTCCATTTGCTGTGCTAGCCAGCTTCCAATTTCAGCACCTGACAAATCCACATAAGACACAAGTTCGCAGTGTCCTGCAGCCAGAAACTTGTCAAGAATTTGAGAGCGTGCCGTTTGCCAGCATTCTTGCCTTGCAGCACCTTCGGCAGCAATGCGATGGCCAGCGATTCCTGTTTGCTTGCCAGCTGTGGAAACTCTAGTCTGAAGATCATGCTTGATGATGTGCAAGCTATCCGGGCTGAAGATTGTGAGATACAAATCATCGAACGGCGCCTGGTCCCGCAAGCCTGGCCACGCCAGCTTGATGCAACAAAAGTGTACGACCCAACTTTGCCGCTTTCTCTGCCATGTCATTTGCGCACTCTTGCACTCAATCTTGCGCCCATCCACACTAAAGTCATACTCCGCCTGTGAAGCTGACCTTCGAGCTCCATTGCAACGCGTCCCTCGGGTAGGTTCTTCGATTGTGCTGTGCGGATGTAACCGGGTCAGCTCCTTCTTGCAAACTTCTTGCAAGAGCATTCCACGATGGTTGGAACAAAGCAAAGACCATTCATGGCCAGACTGACCAACATAGGCCTTGCTAGTGTGCCCGGCATTGTTCAGAATGTGCTTGAACTTCGAGGCGCTCAGCACCATACACCTGGACTGCGGTCCAAAACAAAGCGCACATGGAATAGCTACAGGCACGCCTACATGCAACATACTGCAAGTGCTTCCGAGCCAGAACTCTGAAATATATGCGACACAACTCCACACAGTTCAAAACACAGGTGGGGCACAATGCTGCAACTGGAAGAGCTCAACACCCCCAAAGGAACCACACTCTGTGGATTTTCACGAGCTTCCATTCGTCCAACAAAAAGACTACGTCGGGTGAATGTGCCCAAAGGACCCCATGCTCTGCAAGAATCAACTTGATCACATCGACCTTTTGGGTCATCTCTAAAAAAGACCTAGGCTTTGAGAGGGCCCCTGAGATCTTGAATTGCTCAAAGTTGGCGGTGCGGTAGGGCATGAGTCATGAGGCCTGAATTTCCCCAAGCTGCTGCAGGATGGATTGAAAACACTGCGTGGAGAAGAAATCCAAGGTCTTGATGAAGGTAAAACACCAGCCACTTTGGTGTCCACGAATCGGAACACGGTTTACAACTCGAAGAAGCCTGGGATTCAACCCACATCGACCCGCTTGATGCTTGGGTCGTAGTTCAGGGTTCTGTGGGAAAAAAGGTTGGAGCACGGCGGGTTTAGGTGATTAGCATGGAGGGATGAAGCTTCTTGACTCAACTGCTTTGCAGCTGTTCTGAACGGAAATGGAAGCAAGCGTTTCAGCAAGCTTCGCACAGCTCTTTTCGGCGAGGAAGGCCTTGAGGCTGGTTTCACAAGCCGTTTTGCATCTCGTGCTTGAGCAAGGTCGATGCGATGCATTTGCTCATCGATTTTGACAGTGGGGCATGCAAAAGAGTGGGTCGGGAATCGTGGATCAACCGCTAGCGGTGGTGTCCCATTGGACGCTTGCAAGATGCTCGCAGCCCCAATCCACCTCCATCTTTTTCAGCATTTGGTCATGGGCCTCCTTAACATCAAGCATGTGTCTTGCTTCCGCCACAACGATTCTTCTGCGACTTTCATCCTGCGTCACGGCTGGGTCGAAGTCGCCAGGATGTTTCAGAAAGTGAATGCCGAAGGGGCTCCAAATCGCCAGCCAAAGCTCATCAAAAACATCCTGGTCGCGAATGCCATACCTTGCGCACTTGATGCCCGAGAAGGCACAGTACCAACGGTGTTTGCTTCCATCAAAAAGCATTTGGCCGTGCTTGACTTCCACTTTCACATTTCCACGGACCCAATCTACTTTGGACGAAGCTCTTGAAAATGAACAATGTGGATGGATAATTAGATCCACTTCAAACGCTATCTGCTCGATTCGCAGGCCACGCAATGGTGCCGCCATCTGATTCAGCGGCACCGACATGTATGCATCGTCCTGGGGTGCTGCCATTCCTTCCATTTGCTGCGCGAGCCAGCTTCTGCTTTCTACGGCTGATAAATCTACCTCAGCCACAAGTTCACAATGCCCCACAGTCAAGACCTTGTTGTGAATTTCAGACAGCGCAGTTTGCCAGCAATCTTGCCCTGGAAAACCTCTGGTACCACAAAAGGAAACTCCAGTCCGAACGTCGTGCTTCATGATGTGCAAGCTGTCTGGGGTGAAGATAACAGGATACAATTCATCAAATCGGGACCATGGAGGCTTCATACTGGGAAAGCCAACATGCCAGCAGTTGCGGCGCCTATTCCAAGTCAATTGCCGGCTTTTGCACTCAACTCTTTTGCCATCCATACTGAAGTCGTACTCAGACTGGTAAGGTGGTCTCCGAGATCCATCGGAACGAATGCCTGGTGCTGGGTCTTCTATCTTGCTGTTCGGGTTTGCTTCAGCCAGCACCTTCCTGCAAAATTGTTCCAAAATCGTTCCACGACGCTTTGGGGACAGCAAGGACAACTCATATCCTGCATGACCCATGTATGCTTGGCTGGTCCACCCTGGGTCCTTCAGAATGTGTTGGAACTGTGAAGCGCTCAACACCAAATGCCTTAACTGCTGCCATCCAAAACCCACTCGAAGCCCTACAGCTGCTGCTTGCGAAGCTGACCGCGACATGAGGCGTTTGAGCCAGGTGTTCCTCACTGATGTGAAGTACCTCCATCAGCATATACCACTGGGACAGACCTTTAGGGGCTTAAACGGATTGGAGTACAAAGTTGTCACCCGTGACAGAATGTTAAACAGTTTGCAAGACTATAGCGGTTCATGGTCTGAGTGGTGCGTTGGATAGTTTTCTCGCTTAAAGTCTTTTAGAACTCAAATCGCACGTAGGTGAAAAGAACATAAAAGAACTAAGAACCATGAAAAACTTGGAATTCTCAAGCTGTGGGCTACATGCCACACCCCTACTGCTCACAAGCACAGTGAATACGCAATGCTGGGCATCCGAACGCATGCCGGAGATCACCTTGGGTCCAGAAAGCATTTCGATTCGCTTAGATTCTATGGGCCGATCACGTCATGATTTTGGAAAGCGAAAAGGAGGACAACCTGCATGTGCTCAACTGCCCTTGGCAAATAACAATGAGTTCGAAGCAGTCAAGTAAGGATATATAACCAAATTCAACAATTGAGCAAACTTCAACTCTGCAAGCTCTTGAATGGCCATCCGCCCAACACAAAATAAACTCTTGAGTCCCGCGCCCGCTTGTCCCCCGGCTCGCAAGGCGAGAAGTGCACGTGATTGCGAAAGCCTTGACCTCGCAAAAGCTGAAACTTGGGAGCCGGGTCCAACACCCGGTGACCCTGTAGAACAACCCCCGAGGAGCGTCTCAACAGGTTTCTCGACAGGACCTTATCGCCATCCCCCGGAGGTTCGGCAAAGCTGAAGGCGGGCAGGTGGCACAGCAAACTGAGGCACTATCTGAACAGATTGAGTGAGCTTTTTTTTGTAAGGGCATCAAATGTTAAGGTGTATGGCGGAGGTTCGTGCAAAAACATCAACCGTTTTTTTGTTTTTTCTGCTGTGGCGATTCTTTCAGCAAGTCCAACAACCATTGCTGAAATGAGCGAATTGCACCTAAATGAATTCAGTGGACTAGGATTGACTGAAAAGGCCCATCTCTTCCAGTCCGAGCCTTGTCCACCGCCGGCCAGCAAGCCCACGCGGCGAATGCTGTCGAAGTGCCGGCGGTAGGTGCCATGCCTGGGCTCGTGCGAAGTGAAGGATCGAAGTTTAGAACAAGCTGAAGGTGAGTGGAGAATGCAGAAAAAAAAACCTGTCGTGGTGGGTGGATTCAACCAGGACCCTCTTTTCGAAATCTTTCTTCCTGCAGTTCCACACAGGACTTCTGCTAAATGAAATCGCCATGCTTTTTGGACCGGGTGTACCCAGGTTTGGGTGTCTTTTGTGAGGAATTCTGCGGAAACAACGAAACGGTTGTTTGATTGCGAGGTTTTTAAAGAAACCGGGCAAATTCTGCCTCATTCTATCTATTAATGCTATTTCCAAATTGCATAATTACATTGGAACCTTGGCAGTCCATCATCTGGGAATCCATCTTGGTTCAACCCATCAGGGGAGGCATCACACACACCAAAAAAAAGAACATAACGCTTGCTCCGTCCGTCTCTTTCCCCATCCCATGTCTTTCCGTCGTTCATTCGGTTCATGGGCCGATTCCCTTTTTTTCCGCCTCGCATCACGCGGCCGCTCGAGCATCAGGTTCGGAGCTCCAGGAGGTTCAGGGGGTGCTGGTGCTGGGCAGTGCAGCACGGGCGCAACAGGCGTGAAGGGGAGAAGGTGCGTGGGTGGTGAGGGTGGCTGGTCATCATCAATTGGTCGAATTGGTCAGGTCTGTTCGGTGTTCTCCAATTGGTCTGTTGGTGGGCTGCTGAGCCTTTTTGCATTCGGCGTGGAGAAGTGAAAGAAAGAAGATTATGCACCTTGATCTTGATTGACAATAGCAATGTATACAAAATCATATATAGGATATCAAGCAAAGCATAGCCTACCATCGCACAAAGGCACAGGTCAAGAGTTGGAATGCCACCAATCATTTTTACAATTGAGATCGTTTCAAAAAATCCAACATGCGGTTGATGGCTGGTGACTGGCGCGTGAACAAACATCCATCAATTGATCTAAACATATCTAAACATCAGTTGATCTGACAATTGCCCTTGCAGTTCTCAACCAAATCCGTTGTTATCATACTCCCATCTCATAAGCATTCCTCTCGGCCCTTGTGAGAAGGCACCTGAAGGTCTGGGTGGTCGACTGGCATCCTTCCGCCTGGGCGGACCCCAGAAACCCATGGAGCTCCGGCTGACATCCACAGGTGGCAATTCGGGCCTGAGGACTTCCTCCGATTTGGGGTGATTTGGGGTGAGGGATTTGGGGTGATTACAGTATTCTCTAATCTCTATTATGTTATCTGGATGTACATGTGTATATAGCCAAAAATAAGCCAGGACGGTGTAAGCCAACCCCGAAAACGGATCAGCAGCAAAACTGGGCACACGAAGCGAGCAATTGAACAACAAAGCTATCAGTTCTAAATCTCACGCGCACAACTCTCTAGCACCATATAACACCTCAAAGCTCAAAACCCCTCACGCCCTCTCAGCATGAAGCCTCCACTGAACCTGCACAGGAACCCAGCCTTGGAGGTTTTGGATAGCCCTCCTCTTTGGGCGGTTCCTTAGATCTCTGCAAAGCGATGTGGGGTTTTCTTCTAAACCAAAAACCGACCGGAATAGACTCACCGGCTTGAATAGACTTCTGCTTTGCCATGATGGTTTGCAGGGAAGATTTAAATCTGGTCTTCTGGTGTTAATGCTAATCCTGATCCTTTCAAACCAACTTCCTGGGTTTGCTTGAGGAAAGAACTTTGAAGATTTACACACCTTTACTGACACATTTGAGATCCGTCCCACTGCAGCATCACCAAACTACAACCAAGGAAGCTTGCTGGTGGTTTGGTTTGAGAGTCTGTATCCAAGGTGGGCCAAGTATAGGCCCTTCTAGACAAGTATGGACCAGGTGAATTGGAGGACTTCGTAATTCGTGAAGCGTCTTGGGCATGCCTGTAGATGCAAAGATCCTTCTATCATCAGTAAGAGGACTTGGCGCTTGGAACTTGCTGGGTCCAGTGGCTTTTCGTAGTCGGCCCACTGCCTCCGACATGGCCCGGTCCGTGGCCTCCATGGGCCAGTGGATGGAGGATGCTGTCAGGGGACTTGGCCGTGAACAGTCATATATAGATTTGTGACCCCACATGTTCATCTTGAAGCACTTTCCCAGGGTTCCAGAAGTACCCTAGCTTTTTTGCCCTGAGGGATTCGTGTAGAAGCGTTGGGCTGGGGCTTCAACAAAACAGAAGGAATACAGTCATGAAGCATTGACGCCATACATACGTGGAACCTGAGTGGCCTCTATTTTGGACGGCCAACCAACCAAAATATGGTCTTTTCCTATCAAAGCAAAGGTCACTCAATTTCTAGATATATAAGTGTGTTTCGTTTCAATCACTTTGGATTTAATCCGCTGATTGAAGAGCCCCCCTTCTGCCACACCGGTCGAGTTGTCAAATATATTGGAGTAGACTGAGTAGACCAATGCTTGAAGGCTCAAACAAATAGATGCTGAGCACCATAAACAAGAGTATCATGACCACTGTTTCCTCTTTGCTTGAGTCCATGTGAGAAACCAAGACCCTTGAGGTCTTACACTATCATTGTCAGAATGATACGGACTTGCTTTTGTTGCACGAGTGGCCAACATGAACAATGAATATCTAAGCTCAAACAGGGCATGAAACCAAATGGAGTTGCATCTCTACTGGCGTACTGGCTAGGCGACTCACTTGTAATTGTTCAGTCATCCTGCAAGGAGTTCTATAATATTGACTGAAAGGGCAATGGTCAAATGTGGTCAAATCTTGTCCATTTGTCCCGCCATGTCCCGCCCCATAGGCATAACCCAACGCACGGCCTCGCTTGGTTGGAGTTGTTGATCGCGCAAACCTGACACGAGGCCGACTGGGACGAGCCCAACCTAACGTGGCAGCCATTTTGCAGCAGGTTTCCCGCGCTGACTGACCCCTTTTCACTGCTGGGGAAGTGAACTCCTGGTCCTGGATACAAACAGGCTGTCTAGAAGTTCTCAGCACACCAGTCACTATAGTCTTCTTCATGCTTAGGATGTTCCCTCGTGACCCTCCACAACCTGAAGCTCTCATCCACTTGGAGTCGATCGGTGCTCCGCCTCGAAACAAGCTCACAGCTTCTTGTCGGTGGTCCGTGGCACAGGCCTCCACGACCTCGGCTCAGGGACTTCCATCCGCAGACACACTACTGGTCGTGATTCTGGATCAAGTGTATAGCTTCAACCCGGGCAATGACACTGCAGATTCTCGGAACTATTGCAACTGTAAGGGGCTTTCCAGCATTGAAGACGAACACAATCTTCTACTAGCATAGTCATAGCAGCTTGTCAGAAGTAGCACGCTTCCTCCAAGCATCCTTATAGAACCACCTGAATTGATGGACCCATCGATGAGTGCAGCGATCTCCAAGCGCCCAGCGACACCGGACATCCGAGCTGCTTTGAGAAGTTCCTCCAAATCCGCCGTGGGTGGCAAGTCCTTGGGGCCGGAGTGGCCCGTGGTCGCTGAGCACGCCGGAGTTGCGTGCGACTCGCCGGAACAAACACACTGGGGATTTGTGAGGGGGATTGATGATCGGACCAACTAGACTAATGTGCCTCTGGAGTCGTAGTGCTCTTTAGCATTCTTTAGCCATCTATCCACCTAGCTTGCTCAGAAAAAGGGTCCTTTGACCATCCCGGCCCTTTTTGGGGGTGCAGTCTGCCACTCTCAACCACCCTCTCGCAGCCCAGGTGGCTTCGAAGGCCTGCAATGCACGTTGCCATTCTCGCGCTCGCTCGCAGGCACTGATGCACGCAGTGTAATGCCCTGCATCTGCATTGATCCTCGGGAGCTGGGGTCACTTCTTCAAGCAGTGGGTCATTTCCCTCCAAAGTGGGTCTTGATCCCAATCAGATGCTCTTGAATCACTTCATCCGGGTCCCTCGACACGGAAAAATTCATCGACAACACCCGGGTTCCGAGACTCAGATGGACCCTGAGTGAAAACCACGTCGGGTTGTAGAGGAAAATGCTCTTCGAAAGGGTCCACGCCATCAGGTTCCATGTTAAACCGGGTTCAATAGATCTTGACCCTGCTGGTGTTGATTTGTGTGCAAAAAATCATCTTGAACAGTGTAGAATCTGGCATCTGGTTTGGGGGGAACTCAGGATCTTCTTCTGGACAAAGGGAGGCAAGAAGCTACAGGAAGTTCCCTGGCCCCTAGCCAAACACAACTCGAAATCATTGATTTGACTGATGCCTTCCCTCCTTGTCAAGGCGGGCCCACCAACCTCCATCTCTGACAAAGAGAAAAACTACATACAAATCACTGTAGGGCTGAGCCTTCAAACAAGCAAATGCATGCAAGCGCCAACCCTGTACTGTATCCCGGCTATTGCAACCTCAACTTGGTCAAATCCAGTGTGTCATCTCCACATACCTTCATATTGTACCAACTTCATAAGTTTTTCAAAAAGAAACATTGGCCTTGGGCGTAGGCGAACTCAGGACGAGCACATCGATGACACAAACCAAATTCGCCACCCGCTGACGAGATTCTGCAGCTCACGCATCTGTGCCAGGAGCTCCAGGTTCACGTGCCATTGCGAGCCCTGAGAAGTCCCCAAATCTTGCAGCTCCAAGCTGAAGCATCTAGTTTTCTATGTTGAACTAATCTTGAGTACCTATTAAAAGGAAAAATACTATAGCCTATTAGAAAAGCTCACGCCTACATACAGTAGACCTTCCGGGAGGAGAATCCTCCTTTCCAAAGGCCGTGGCATGACTTTCACTGAACAGGTGGTTTAGGTGGTATTCAGTCCTATTCAGTTCGTGGGAAGCCGTTTTCTATTACTATATGAATGAGGCTACATCTTCCTAGTGTGCACCGTGCCCTTTCAAAAGCTCATAGCACCGTAGTACTTCAGGCAGACAAAAGTTTACGCTTGTTAGCCTTCTTACAAAACACTCTGAGGTCAGCGGCGGATCGAATTAACAAGTCTAATTTTCGTGGCAGGTGTGGGACGGTCAATTGTCACACCCTTTTAAATTTATAATAATAAAGGCTTTCCGGGGTGACAAATGACCGCCGACACCTTCCCTTGTCTCATGGTGTAGGATTCTAGGGGGATAGGGTTGTCATGAGTTTCAACATCAAGAAGCGCAACTTTCTTCTGGCCAGTGCGTTAAAAAAGGGGTGTTGCATTGACAGGTAACTGACTGGTCGTTTTTTAAGTGAAATGTCAATCTATAAAGTACTCTGTCCTCTTTACAGCTATATATTTGCCAAACATATCTATATACGTATAAATATAAATAGACCAGACGTTGAACGGATGCACGTTTTGTACATGTTTGCTCTTCGCTGCCCTGCGTTAAAAAAGGGGTGTTGCATTGACAGGTAACTGATTGGTCGTTTTTAAGTGAATGTCAATCTATAAAGTACTCTGTCCTCTTTACAGCTATATATTTGCCAAACATATCTATATACGTATAAATATAAATAGACCAGA